AGAACTGATTAATTTTAAACCGATTTTCGAAAAGAGTTTGATATTTTTCAACTAACTAGTCAATGTTTGTAGCAGGAGTAAGTTGAACTAGAAAAAAATTTTTGGTTATTTTCCATGCTGAATAGATGTTAGTGAGTTCAAGATTATCTAGTCTGCCATTTTGCACAACCTGGTACTAACCGAAACTTGAGACTGATAACTATGGAGCTCCCCTTAGGCCTTATTCGTACGAAATACCTCCGTATTATTCATTAAGCCCAGGATAATAGAGTGACTTTAAAGGCAGTCCTAGGCAAATGCTGAAATAACCAATCGCGTTTTCATATTTTGACTGCAAATGCAATTTTTCATGAAATAAAGAGCCATAGTTGGTCATTGTAGTACTTGCTAGGGTGATCTTTAGAGTCAATCAGATAATCCATGTTGTGAGACGTGCCTTGTATATTCATTTAACGTTAGTTGCAATTACCGAGTGGTAGTATTTATATTTAATCAATCGTTTAGGAAGGTCAAGAGCAAATAAGGTCATATTTTGATGAACCTAGATTTGCTTCAGTTCGCACTCACCAACAGGATGTATCTATGAAAAGTATAAATCCTGGGGTGTATTTAGTTAGTTACATTGATCCCAAATGTCGTGAGTGGTCAACCAAGTGTGATCTCTGCTGTCTAGTCAGTGGTACTATTGTTTGTCGTATTTCTTGTTGAGTGTCCTCATTTAATCTTGATGATTTAAGTGGCAGCAAGGAATCCCGGTTTTCAGGCATCCCTCGTGTTGTAACTTACTCTCTTCTGAGGATTCACCTCTTCCATTTTTGTCAGTTGTTGTTTTGATAAGCTGGAAATACAGTCCTTCGTTTCTTTCATTCGGGTACTTCTGAAATTTTCGTTACCTTTCTTTTGAGAATTTTTTTTCGTTGCTCCTTGCATTGCCTTACTGATCTTCCAACTACTGTGGTTAACTCTGTCATATGTTGTATCGCAAGTATGCTTCTTCTTCAGAAAGGCCTGAGGTGCAATACAAGGGATGCCTTGAAATCGGAATTTTTTGGTGTATGAGAAGCACCACTTAGAACTTCAGAATTAAATGAGGACACTCAATAAGAAATAAGGCCATTAATCGTGTCACTAATAAGACAGAAGGGAGATTAAACTCAGTCAACCAATCATAGACAAAAAGCTTTGAAAGAATTAAAAAAATAGGGAAGACATGGTTATACTCGCGGTAGACAAATAGCACACCCCTATATTCATTGGCAAGGAAGACTATGTCAAGACACTAGTGGATTTACTCAAGGATGAGACTATATATCAGGCACTTGATACTAACCCTATCCGAAAGTTTGACAGCCAGATCACCTTGACAAAGCAGGAAAAATATCCAAGCAAGACAAATGGGGAAGGAAATAGAATAAAACTGTTCTTTCTTGGTTTTGTGGAAGACCAAACTATACGAACCACTTCAACCACAACTGGCTAAAAGTATTATGTCTCTCCTCCTCTCTGACATTATAAGGCTTTTGAAATGCACAGAACATCAGTGTTCAAGTTTAGTGGAACTCACTGATTTTTGTTTGACAACATACTACCAGTTTAATGGTAAGATATACAGACAGTTGAATGGAACTCAAATGGGATTACTGATATCTGGATTAATTGCAAAAGCAGTGATGCAGAGACTGGAAGCCACCACTTTACTCATGATCAAGGTGAATGTTTAGATTGGCTTTTTGGATGATACATTTATTATCCTTAGAAAGGGTAAAGTTTTCAGTGACATCAGCTTCACAATTGTGAAGGAATTGAACAACCAACTGTCATTTCTGGATGTTTTACTCAGAAGAACCAATGCCGGAAAATTGAAATCTCAAGTGAAAGGGAAGTCAACAGATATTCACCGAATCCTCAACTACAGTAAGCACAACCCAACAACGCACAAAAGTAGTTGTATATAGACTCTATTCAAAAGAGCAAGAACATACGTCAGTACAGCGACTTCACGGGGAAACAAAGAAAACTATTTTGTTTCAGTCCTTACGAAGACTGGTTACCTACGAAACTTCATCAGAAGATGCTTATCCCATTTATCACAAACTGCAAAATCATCCACAGAAATCAGTAAACCGATCACCTTGTTGTACATGAAAAGCATACCAGAAATCACAAGATTACTCAGACCACTTGGAATTAGTGTGGCTCATGAATCTACAAATTCCCTTCAAACCGTATTATGCAAACCAAAGGATGCAACGGACCAGGAAAACAAACCAAATACTATTTACAAGATCAATTTCACCAATTACGATCGGTAATACATTGGATAAAGTGGTCTCCCTCTTCGCCTTCGTTTACATGAACATCACTTGGCTACTAAGCGTCACAATATTTCCTCATTCATATCAATGCACATGGATAACTATGGATATGAATTCAACTTTGAAAATGTAGAAACCTCGAACAGGGGAAACACAAAGAATGTCAGAGAATTCCTAGAAGCTTGGCATTCAGGTCAGTCAGCAGTCAGTAGATGTGCAGACATAGACCCAGTCGATCAACCACTAAGAAAAATGATAAACAACCGCTTGGTAAGAGGTCAAACAGGGAAACAACCAACACGAAAGTCTATACATTTAATGATACAGCAGTAAAAGGAAACAGGCGATCACAACTCACTCTGTCAAGAAAAGCTACTGAATCACTCATGCAGAAATACTGATAGCTCACTTCATATTGATGTTAGTGGTGATGATCTTGTCTAGGAAGACAATGAAGGCTTTATGAATGAATCACTAAGCTCAGTGAACGTAACACAATTAAATCATCCACCTGAACTATAAATATTCTTCACCATTTAGAATTCAATGAAACCGTTCCTATGAAGTCATAAAATTGAACTAACTTTCACTCAGTTCATATATATATATATAAAAGAATACTACTAACTTACTGGAAGTCATTAGTTGGAAAATTATTTTTATACTTCCAATTAAAAAGTAATAAGAACAAGCTTTCACAGAGTAATAACCAAGTTTCCAATCCTGTTACTATATATCTGAGACAATTTTGTTGTTACTAACAAAGGCTCGATTAGGTGAAAAGCGTGGGGTACTTTTTTGATAATTCAAGTTTAGTGTTTATCCAAAAGGATGAAGGGGTAGTGGTCATGATAATAATAATATCACTTTATCCCGAGCAATGTTTCGGTACAATTAGGAATTTTCAGCATGTTATATGAAGAATATTTATAACAGGGAAAATTTTACATCGTTAATTGAAATATTGAAAAGCGACTATTTATTTTGAGGTTAATGGGAATTTCCTGTTTAAGGTAGCAACTGATGTCAGTCCATGATGAATGCTACCTTAGATTATTTATTGTTGCAAAGTCGATAAATGAGTTCAGTTCTAACATCTTTTTCCTCACATAATGTACGTGCTAAGTAGAGCATAGTCAAATTGTTATATTTTACTGTATAACGTTTTATGTTATTTCTTCTTATTCTCTCTGAGGAGATACAAAAAGCGAGTTTTGGATAAGGTGAATGCTGAGGGTTAGTTAAAATTACTGCAGCTAGTTACCTGCTGGAATTTAAATGTTTGTCAACTACAGCGTTGACCAGCTGAGCGAGAGTCACAGCACTCACCCTACTGACTGTTTTCATAGGCCTACGCATCGTCACAAAATACTTTCTTGTAAACCAGGTAAGATCAACAGGGAATAAGAGAGAAGGATATGTAAAATTCAGGAATTAATAAATTATAGGATTAGAGGCTTTTTTGCCGTAAAGTCTCAGTTTCTTTATGTAATACGTTAAACGAAATATTTTCTTGGAAGTCAACAAGATATGAGACGACCAACAAAGATCGGAAATAAAACTCAATCCAAGATAGTTAACACTCGGTTTACTTTCTACAGAAGTCCTGCCAATGCTACAGGAGTCACAGAACTTAGCCAGCTCTCAGGCTCTAATTAACAGTCTGACACTTTGAAGGGTTTAGCTTGAGACCATCTGAGAGAGACCACTGGTGAGTTTCAGACAAGAAACTATTTAATTCAGAGCAATCTAAGTGAGATTTACCTGGCGTAGAAACCGTCAGGTTCTCAGCATGCTTGGTGAAGTTAGTTTCAGCAGGATAAGGTAAACCATGCAAAAAGAACGAAAACAGTAGCAATAACGGAAAACAGATAGCTGATCTCGGGGAACACCTTGAATTTCTTTATTGGTAAATAAATTTTAGAAACGCACGTTTCTGACTTCAATCAGAAAAGTGAGCGAAAAGTTTTACACTGTTGAATGGTTGAATGTTTTTATCCAGCAAATCGGAAACTATGTTTTTAAGTACTTATTAGCGATCACAAGTAAGGCCGGAGTTCAGACTCCAGTATTTTGATGCTGAGGAGTCACGCAAATCATTTTAGAACTGTCAGAACTGCTAGTGAAACCTTAAAGAATTGGAATCCGGGTTTATCATTATCTGACTGTCATCATTCAACATAATACTGTGTACTTCGAAACAGATGATCATTTGGTATGCTGGTCACATTTCAAAAGCTAACTAACAGGTTTTTATGGATTCGGCACTAGTGACCAATTCTTATAGTTTGTACTGTTTTATGTCACACTTAGTAAAAATATTGATTTCTGACATCCTAAAAATGTCTGCAAATGCTTTACTGAGTCTTTTACAGCGTTACGAAAAAGTGTTTTTTTTTGTTCAGATTAATTTTTTGTTGCATACAATGGTACTAGAGTTAAGAGACAGTCTGACCTTTTCCACTCTTCATTAACAGGTCGAGTTAGTTTACTTTTAGTATGTCATCTTATCTCTGTGTATATGCATATGCCAGTTAAGAGTTTTATCTGACTGATAGAATAAAAATGAATCTTTTCTTTTTCTATGAATACATTTCAGTGACTTCTGTCTCATCTCTGTTTGTATACAAAAGGACTTTGTATAAGTGTGATTGATACCAGCCAAGTCAAAGGAAATTGAAAAGTATGCCTCATCTAAGCAAAATTATATGCCTACTTATAGATGGATTAACATTTATCTACCTATCAGATTTGATTACATTTCATCTATTCAGCACAACATTGATTACTTCGATTCAGTTGATTTTAAATTTACCGAAATGGGGTATCTTTAGTTATCTATTTAAAAAATGGTTTATATTTCGTTGCCTACTGTTTGGTTGGAGAAGGTATAATGTTTATAAACGTCTAAATAAAAAGAAAGATAGTTTATTTGACAAACACGGACGACTACACAATAAATTTCAAGGTCTTCATAATATGGATAGTCAGTCTAAAAAACAGGATGTCAACAGCAGTAATGAAATGATTTCATTCAGCTTAAGTCAGTTACGTGAGAAGTTGGACAATAAAAGTCTGACATCAATTGATCTACTGGATGCATATCAAATTCGCGCACTAGAAATATGTCGTTCAAGAACCAACTGTATCACTGAAATTGTTTATGAAGCCGATGTCTATGCTATATTAGCTGATTCTGAACGGGATTCCGAGGATGGAGAGGTCAGTTTAATCCATGGAATACCAATAGCAATTGAAGAAATATTTCCTATTCATGGTTACGATCATACAATGGGTTATACAATATGCACTAATCATGTAGCAGAAGACGACTGTATCCTCGTGAAGGCATTACGCGATTGTGGTGCTATTCCAGTGATTTTAACGAATGTAAAGCAAAAACTTTTAAGCCTTTCAGCAAACAATCCAATAACTGGTTTAACAAGTCATCCTACTCACCCTGGTAGAGCATGTGTCAGTGGTACAGGATCTTTATTAGTTCATAATGGTTGCCCACTTGCTGTTGGTTTTGATATATTGGGTGAAGCTCGTCTTTCTGCTGCATTCTGTGGGATAACAGCGTTTAAGCCAACACCAGGCAGAATCAGTAATAAGGATTTAAAATTACCCATTGAATTACCTGATTATTTATCCCCGATTCCATCTCCTATGGGTCATAGAGTCGAGGATCTAGTGGACGTCCTTCGTAGTCTTTGGACTAAAAACATGTTTTCGTATGATTGCACACTATCCCCAATGTTATTCAACAATGAAAAGTATTTATCCACCGCAAAATTGGATAAAAAATTAAAAATAGGTTTTTACACAGATTTTGATGATCTAGTCAACGCTTCACCATCAGTACGACGTGTCATGTGGAAAGTTCGTGATGAACTTGAGAGGCAAGGATACGAGGTGGTCGATTTTTCCATACCAGCACCACGTACAGCATACCAGCTAACTATAAGCTTACTGGCCAGTTATATGGAACCAGAACTATTGAAATTAATATACATTCGTGGAAATGGAGATATTTTAGTTGATCAGAAACAACGTCTTTTGCATTTATTCTACGCATTGCCAAATTTTATGCGATTCAGAATCGCTGAATGGCGTGCAAAAAGTGTTGCAGTTGATTATCCAGCCACAGCCTCAGTTCTACGTGGTTTAGGCTGTAACCAAAGTCCTAAAACGCTCATCACACAGATTAATGACTATAGACAACAGCTGTTTTCCCAATGGAATGAAGCAGAAATTGATGTATTAATATGTCCGACATCTCCAATACCTGCGCCTTGGGACAACAGTACCTCGTATGTAACCAACTGTGTCCTTCCTTTTACCTGCCTTTATAATTTACTCGGTTGTCCAGCCGGTAGTGTATCTGTAGGACGTGTTGAAAAGTGTGATTTACAAGCATGTGACGATATTCTCAATAGTAGCATGAAAATCTCTCCATTGAACACAATGTTCTCTGAACAGCACAAACGGTCAGAAGGTCTGCCGATTGGTGTACAAGTTGTCGCAAAACCATGGAATGATGAAGCAGCTCTTGGACTACTTGTTGTATTGCAATCTTTGTTCAGCTCATAACATCAATCTTCCATCAAGTAAACGATCGTCAAGATGACTTTAAAATAGATTTCTCCTGTATAAATGAAAACATTGTAAATGCTACTTTACTGTTTGATTGTAGAGCGTAAACAATCATGTTTTCGAAATTTTATTGTTTTTTCCTCACACATTCCGTTTTTACTTTAAAATAACTGTTTTTCTGTGATTTGATTACCTAGGACTTTGTTATTTCTCCATCGTATTCATTGCATCAAACCTATGAAATGTGATATTGCTGTATTGAATGAAAAAGCGTTTAGTTTTAAAAACTATACTTTTGTAGTTCTGTCCCATATTATGACAGTTTATTGTATATATATACGTATATTTCAACGAAATATGTCGTAAATCTTTATGTTTACATTGTTGGTAGGAAAAACATTCGGAGTTTATGTGTCCCAGTATTTTTTTTAATTTTTGTCTCATATTTTAATCCTAGAAAATGTACTGTCTTTGATATAAATAATATTTATCTTTAACAATGCAGATTATTTACTGAGTTTCTTATTTTCTGACTATCATTAACTACTAATCATCATAAAACTTGATTTCGTTTGAATAAGAGCTGAGAAATGATTGTGCAAATAAGAGACATCTTATACCTGACCTGAGTATCTGCTGGTGTTTTCCTCGTAGCTTTTCTCAGAAAAGACGCTAAACTCCTAAGTCTAAATGACAAGAATAACAACAAGAATGCGAGCTTTACTGAAGTGAAACTATCCTCTGTTTAACTCAAATACAATTTTGAACTGTCTCCTAAGTGTTCTTGAAACAAAATCATGGTTATTATTAGTTGTTGATACTTAAAATTATCATTTTAACTCTCTGAGGTAGCCGCGGTTTGGCAGACTAGTAATGATACTAGGTGATGATTGAGGGTGAAGTGAAAATTTGTACCATGGTCGGATTCGAACCAGCAACCACCGAGTTTCCTGACGCGGTTTGGCCACGGTCCAAGTTTTCATTTCACCTTCAATCATCACCCAGTATAAATACTAGTCTGCCAAACCACGACTATCTCAGATAGTCAAAATGATGATCAGTATGATGCTCCCCCACCACCTCTTTAATTCAGTTAGATTTTCGATTGGGATGAGAAATCCTGACTGGGTAGCCAGTGTGAGTACAGTCAAGCGGTAGTAACGCGTCACGAATTCAAGTGGTAGTTGGGCAAAACCTCTGGTGACTGGGGTGAAATAAAATGTGATCAGCAGTCGAACGTCGTAGCTCAGCTGGTAAAATATCGAGCCGGAAACCCAGTGGCCGCTGGCTCGAATCCAAACGTGGTCCAAATTTTCATTTCTTCATTCATCAGCTGATATCTATGCTTGTCATTCCCCGTTGTTATTGGGGAGAGAACTGATGAACCTCTGTTGGTATATGGGCTTTTACGTGGATGTCTTGAAGTCGCCTGGAGTGGTTACCATGCCTCAGTGGCTTAGAAGATAACGCTTTTACATTTGAAGCGATTGGTAAGGGGTTTGAGTCTATTTAAGAATACCATCACTCACTTAGATGCAGGTAAACTCAGCTGACGAGTCACAAATCAGACGACACACTCGTCTTAAATCCCACTGATAGCCATAGAGAAGTTGATTATAACAGTAAACATTTATAACTAAGTAACAGATCTCAGTTTTCACTGAGAATGAATCGTGTTACTTCAATGAATAAGCAGGTTTCCTTTCCAAATAATTTGTCGTAATTTCACCATCCAGTCCTTATGGTGTTCTTATTTACTTTTTATTCTCCCTCCCCAGGCTCATATGTATGCTTGATATGCTAGATAGTGTTAAGAGGAAAACTATACTACTGTTCTGCTTTGTGCGGTTGGAAAAAAATGATTGGAATTACTGATGTATGTGGTTTACCCTTGATGTTATGTAGTCGAGCTAAAAGTTAGAAATAATAATAGGCTATAGTTTTGAGCACAGTTGACATTCATCTTTGGAACATATTTTGACAATCTTCCAACCCATAAAAACTAGGTAGACGACAGAACTTTGAGATTAGTTCAGAATCTGTTCAACTATTCTATGAAAGAGCTTAGAAGTTATTTTACTATAGTGTAACGAATATATACATTTCATGACTTTAGTAGCTAACCACAGTGAATATATGGATAACTTTGCTTTTTGTTTATCAGTAGTTGTTTAAATTTTATAATACCTCAACTAAAAAATTCTTCGGTGTCTGTGAAGCGTAAAATGATACCTACTTCATCAATTGACTCCAACGAAATCTTTTTGAATTCAAAAGAATAGTCAATTTTATTTCCTAGAGCATTGAGATTTGAATTTATTTCAATTTCCAGACTGGCAAGAATTCTCAAGGGATTGGTAGAGTACCCTAGAATTTTACACTGCTCTTCTTGGCTAACACAAGTAGAATGAGATTCTGAAATGTTTTGAACTTCAAGGGAATCATGAGGATCTACGGGAATGAAAACATGTGAAAATATAAGAGACTCGGTGATCTTGAAATAGCCAGAAAAGACCTTCTTCATGCGATGAAGGATGATCATTTGCGAACTTCACATGAAAAAAGCAAATAAAGGCCTTCACTTACGTGATTTGAACATAGTGGGGTGAAAAGACTTATTTTATCGAACTTAACACCCAAGTTTGTATTCAAGTCAATTGTTCGGCGAAGTTTGCCTTTTTCTATAGTTTTTCGCAGAACTCAGATCACCTGATGATCCTTTTAGTCCAGAGAAGTACTGAGCAACTTTTATCTACCTTCTTTTTCCGTAAACCCTATACAGGCTTACAGATTTTATTTAATGACAGCTGAAACTTAAGTTTTGCTGCTGAGCATGTTGCTCATGAACGGCAGGCGTAATATTTGAAAGCAGAAACAACGTTCTAAAAATACGTCAGTCTACACTCGCATGTTTTTATCAGACAGATAGTTGAAGGTAGTTAGCAAGAAGCCTCTAGGTTTCTTGCTTATTGAACTAAACAGCATGAAACCTCTTAGACTTCAATGTAAAATTAGCACTATCTGAAACATTGTAGACTTGAATCTATACTAAACAATTACAATCTAGTTACACAGCTATAAGCCCAAATCTTATTCTAAAGTAAAGAAAATGCGATGAATTTTATTGACGATGCTAATCGAACAAATATTTTAACCTTTTTCAAACACTTTTTATGACACTGAATGACATAAGCAGCCCTAAGAGACTCCTTCATCTCCGTTTCATTGTTACCAATATATGCCTCTGTGGGACATTTCTGACCTGACGAGAACTAATGATTCTTGTTAGATTCTTATGCGTTTGGTTCACTGTTACTGCGATGAATCGACAGTGACGTATCATGGACTTACATAACAGCTAAGTGAGACTCTCGATGATTGAAGTGAAATTTAGACCAGGTCACTGACTAGGTCTCATGGCTTAGACAGTAGCGCATCAAGCAGGTAAGCTGGATGCCGCTGCTTTGCATCATGCAACGATCCAGGTTTTTATTTCGCCTTCAGTCATTACCTAATATAAAGGATTCTAATTCACCCACTTTTATGTCAATATCCATGTAGAACAGCTATCTCTCATAAATCAGTTAATCGATAATCGATAATGTAATTTTCTACTGTACTTTGCTAGTAGAAATAAGTTTATCTAGCTATCTAGTGTGATTGCGTGATTGGATAATATAAAAAATCACGTTTGATGATGAACGCAAATAAATATAACTGATAACACTGCTAAAAGCTAATCATTGGAAAATGATGTTTGTGAAAACTTCAGTTCTGTAAATAGTTGACAGCGGTATGAAAAGCTTAGGTTTTTCTTGCAGAAGGAATTGAATCTAGGCAGCTTTTTAAGTTTAAATGTAAACATGGAGGCATATGCCTAGCCTAACTTTAGAAATGTCTGGAAACACTCTATATCTTCAATGAGTAAATCAAGTGATGCCTAATGAGTTCAAAAGGTTGTCTATGTAGTCTTCAGTATGTCACCATAGCATAACTTTGGATCTCTTGTAGTGCATTGTAAATTTAAATTTGCTAAGATGGTAGTTTACGTGACTGTCGAAACGATATCAGCCGATTAGTAAATGTAAGATAGCAATTCTACAAAATTCACTGTACACACTACGTTTTAAACTGTGATATTCGATGGACAGAATTAGTTACATTTTACATTAACTTGACATAGAACACCATGAATGTTGTCAGCTCACCAAGGTTCACACAGAAAGATGTTTCTACCAACCATTTATTTGATAATATATTAAATAGGTCACTGTTTAATTGAATCCTTCACATCCACTCACTAGGTGTTTTGAAGAAATCTATAACAGCAATCTGCAAAGTGCATTCATTTACAGATTATGTAGATTCAAGATGATGACGATGTTGATGCTTATCGGCAAATTCTGGCACGCTCAAGACTGTCATAGATATATGTCTACCCAACTGTTGACTCATTTGTGTTTAATAATTAATTTACAACTTATTTAAGACAAGTACTACTATCTGTATTACAGTTGCGGTTCTTATCGATGAAGACAATGACTTTAGTGTCAAACATTGACAGGCTGTCAATACAGTTTGGAAACTCCGCACAGTTTTTCCTTGACACAGACGCCACAGACGTCCACCATTGAGTTTAAACAGCTTAAATACACTATGACATCTTTTGTAGTTAAGTTTATCAGATATTCTTAACCCACTGGCTTATCGTTTATGCACATCGAAACTCAAAAAAGAGAACTCAATCTAGTCTCGATGACACACTATCAAATTAGGCAATCATATAAAGAAAATGGAAGAAGATGAGATTTTTCTGATGTTCAAGAGGAGAAGAGAATTCATTACACCAGGCTTCTGTTTTGAATATTCACAGAACATTCTGAAACAAATTGATTAAAAATATAATGATTTACGTTTTCTCTACTGTCAAGTGATCTTGCAGTGAAGCAATTTCACCAGGTTTTGCAAACTTTTTGAAGGACTAGACCACTACCCCG